AAAAAAAAAAAAAAAAACACAGGAGCCGCTCACAAAACATGCAATACAGAGCCATCTGCCGACGTGGCCACGTCGCTGGACCGCACAGTCTTCGCCACCCTTATCGTTCGACGCGGTGAGAGATGTTTCCGCACCTCTACCTTGACAGGCTGCTGCGCAGGACCGACCACCTCACCTATTCGCCACACCCCCCACCCCCAGCACCTGGCAACACCCGTCCCGCCTCTGCGCTACCGTGTCCACTTGAAGGTGCACGCTTCGTCCTCTCGTCACCACCGTCGACGAAGCGCCGACGATGCGCACCAACCCGCTGCTATCTGCTCGAGATGACGTGTCACTTGCCATCATCTCCATCGTCATCCGCCGCGGGCCCGCTGCCGATCCACCCGTGTTTCGCGGCCTCCACCGCGTTCTTCAGGGCAGCGTTGTGCCCGAACGCCAACCCGCAATCGCACCATTCCGGAATGCATTGCGGGTAATCTCCCAGCGTGAGGTGGGCCTTCCCTAGACGATCGAGGACGAGGTTGGCGGAGTCCACCACGTGTCGGCGCCAGTTGAAGATGTACGACCCCGCCGCTATCATCGTCGGTTTCGCGACCATGGATGCGTACGACCATGCCTCGTAATGCGATCGGTCGTCGTCACCTCCCATGCGCATGATCCACATGACCACGCACAACAACGCTCGCAGACTGTCCGCCAGCCTGGACAACCTCTCCTGTTTTACGCGCCCGCCATCCGCCCACTGTCCGCACCAGAGCGCATCAGTCCAGCACTCCGCCAGCAGAAGAACTGTCACCTCCTGCCGCGCCGCCATGTCGTCGTCTTCCGGGCGGTCCTCGATCTTCACCCCCGTGAACCACAGAGGCACGTCCATCTTCATCGCCAACGTGTGGTAGACGAGTGCAGGGGATACCACTCTCGACCATTCCAAGGCCTGCCAAACTGCTCGTGCAAGGTCCGTGGCGAAGTCGACGGTGATGTAGGACTCTGCACGAGAGAAGCCAGTCGACCTCGACTGCCATTTAAAGATCCAACCGTGGATGGTGCGCAACACTACTCTCTCCACGCGGTGCGCTCTGCGAAGAGCCGGATCACGCTGCGCCGGGTCGTCGATCTTGAAGCGCGGCACATCATTCGGCGGCATGATGAGCATCGAAGGCGGCTCAGCTCCTGCGTCTCCGTTGGCGATGGCGACGAAGTAGTCGGTGCATTCGCCTACCGCCTCTCTCAGAGGTTTCTCGGGACCCTGACCCCAGAAAGCGTCGCAATCAACCCACAACTTGGCCTTCTCTTCCAGCTCGTCCTCCTTCGGCGCTCCCTTCCCCCTCGGCACAAGTGGACGGTCGTCGCCGTCATTGCCCTCCCGCTTTCCGTCTCTTCGGCCATCGTCACGGCCAACGTCGTCGACCCCCCCCCTTTCCGCACCTTCGACGACTCCAGCTTTAGCTGTGTGATCTGCCGCAGCCGTCCGACTGGCGCTAGCCGTCGTGTCGCCTTTTTGCGCGATCGCCGTGTGCCCTCCCCCTGATGCCAACACGTGTTGCAGGGGGAGTGGCTGACGTGGCTGACCTTGGCCTGCCGCCGCCGAAAGTTGTCCCTCGACCCGCGCGCCCGTGACGACAACCCCTGTCGTGTTTGGGGTCCTTGGCACCGTCCCGGCAGCACCGCCAACAACACTGCATTTCACTGCTTGCAGCTGCTCCCTCGACACTCCATCCCGCCCGAAACCCAACCTCGCGACCCCTGCCATCCCTTGCGCGTCCACCATAGCCACTTCGTCTGCGAGGAAGTCATCAGTTTGTGAGGAGCTACCGTCATCGATGAGCTGCCTTTTCGACTTCAGTATGTGGCCTCTGCCTTTGTTGGTTTCCCCACCGTCGCCCACCCCGCCATCTTTCCTGCCCCTCGCCGAGGCGCCCCGTGGGGGCATCTGGTCCGCAAATCGGAATCAACGACGACGTAAACGAAGGCTGCCTTCGACGAAAGAGCGCACGAAAGAAGGACGCCTGACTGCTTCCTTGTGCTTCGACGTGGACGGAGGACGACGTGGATGATGCAGATGACGGGGCAGTGGTCGTGGAGCCGCGACGACGATGGCGACCGAAATGGAGATCGCGGACGACGAAACACGTTAGCGGAGGAGCACGTCCACGAAGGATGACGTCGACGAAGGAGCACGTGGACGGAGGCGGCATTCAAGTCCTTGAAGCGCGGCACGTGGGCGAAGAGGACAGCTGTCGCGACAGGGACGCGGGACCACTTGTTTGATGCACATGAAGGGGCATTGCCCACGCAGCACGATGCGGGAGCGTGGAGCGGTGAAGCGGAGTTGCAGACGCGCGACGACGAGCAAGTAGGCAGACGGTGCGAGAGGGAGCCGTGGCTAAGGAACCACTGCGGTGCGGAATGGCGGGCGGAATGTCCTATTTCTACGTACTGCAATGTGAAAGTACACTGTGGACATGAGTCCCCGTCCACTATAGCCCGCCCCTTCGTCGTTCGACCATGGTCCGTTTTCCTCCGCAGGCGCATGTCATCCCTCGCATGGCCAACATCGAAAGTGGGCGCGCAGAACGACCCTGGTGGAGGTCGAAAAAGCCCGCCAAACAAACGACCCCATCCCGCCCGAAAATCACACCCTTCTCCGAAAACCCCGGAGTTCGCCATCCATGCGTGCCGGCGACGCCTCACTACAATAGTCCTAATATTCTATAAGCAGACGACGTAGTGTAACACCGAAGGACGCGCCGCGGGGCATGACAACAATCACACCCATTCTACAATGAAATCATCAAATAAATGCATAGCATTGCATACTTAAAAAAAAAAATATCCGTGCGGCCAAAAAACAACCAGCCGTCTGTACACAACCTGTACATCTCGTCAGTGCAGCACGCAGGACAACAACGACATGCGTGGCGGGGAGACGTCGCGATCGCTCGCGGATCGCTTTAGCAATCTCCATAAGTGCTTGGCACATCATCGAGTTCGCCTGGTCGGCCTTAACGTAGTGTTCCTTCTGCACTTCAACCTCTCGCTCCAGAATGTCGCACTGCCTAGTCAGAATTGAGCACTGTCTCTTGCTCGCCCTGTCCACGGTTATCGCCATCAGACTCCCGTGCTCCTTCATCACGTCTGCAATCGTGTCGAAGGTATGCTGTCTCACATTCTTCCGTTTGCTGCCCCCGCCAACACCACCGCCGCTGATAGAATCCCTCGTGGACCCCTGATCGTGGTCCTGTCCATCCCCCCCCCCCTCACTACCGCCGGATTCATTCCGACCTCCGCGTGGGCCGGGCATTTGAACACCTCCAATCACACCGGTGTCGGCGAGATTGGTGGGGTGTATGGTGTGATCGCTCCTGGTCATCGCCGCCATCTCCGAATACACACGCTCATGCATCCGGAAATCGAACCCCTGCTCCTTCCTCTCGCCTGGCGTTAGTGTGAAGAAATTTGGCTTCCCCGATTCTCCCATAAACTTGTGCACGGTTTTGAATTGCTGGTACAGATTGTCCCATTTCTTCCCGCAATCGACGACCTTTCTACTCCTGACCCCCATCTGCACCAGCCTCTTCTCCACATCGTCCCACTTCCATGTCTTCGTCTTCATCCTTCCCGTGGTGTGCGCGAGGCCAGCAAGATGCGAATCCTGGTCTCTTTTTGCCCGGATGAGAGCAATCATGTGCTCCACGGTCCAAGAATCCCGGCTTTTCGATCCCTCGCCAGCCGACGCATCTTCCACACCCTTCTTCCCCCTCCGCCCCGTGCGCATTTCCGGCAACTTTTTCGCGGCCCTCGACCCTCCCCGCTTTCTCCCTACTGGATGAATCTCCATCTCCTCGTCGTCCTCCTCGTCGTCGTTACCGGCCCCGTCGTCCGCCTCGCAATCCTCCGCAACTGCACCATCTTCATCGCCTAATATATCGTCCGCCCCCACGGTAGTCTTCGCCACCCCTCTCGTTATGCCGGCCGTGCTCGCTTCACACGATTGTCGCCGATGATCATCCCAAAACTTTCGACCAACGACCTCCGTTGCTGACCACTCTTCGTTTGGGCATCATCCGTCCACTGTGCCACCTGCCGTCCTCGTTCTACACGGAACTGATCCGCCAGTCCGCGTTGTCACTGGAGCCGGTGTGTGGGTGGTGCCCGAAGCTGGGTTCACGATAACGGTGCGCGTCACCTCCTCGGCACTCCCGGACCTCAATCCGAAGCTGAGATCCACCAGTCCTGGGCCATAACCAGCCGGGGTACGCCCCTCCAGCAGATCAGTGTACGTCGGCGTCGATGCCTGCCTGTGCAGCTGGCTCCCCATCCAATCCTGAGTCGAACCGCTGCCCAGAGGAAGGGTAGAACATCGTGGATCGTCGCCGTCATCGTCACTTGGAGGCAACGGTATCTCGTGGGACGGCAGGTGGCTGTACAGTGCGGAGTCGTACGGCCGCCTGACTGCTTCCGCACTTCTGCAGCGCCGACGTGACGACCCCGCAGCCCCAACGGACAGCGTGGTCCTCGTTTGTACCCTCTCCATCTTCCTGGCCGTCTTCGACGTTCGCCACGTCTGTTTCCTCCCTGGAACGCGCACGAGGCAGCAAATATGGAAGATGACAACGGCAAGCAGCAGCGCAACGGCGAGCAGCAGCACAACGGCGAGCAGCAGCAAAGGCAGCCTGCGGTACAGGTCTGCCATGAACGACAGGGCAGCAGAAACAAAAGACGCACTCGCGCTGTGGCAAGCGCGGCGAACGGAGACAAACGGTGTGAGAGGGAAGACGCCAACGAATGAAATTGATGCAATCTCGCAGCTGGCTGCAAGAGGGCGCTTACAAAATACGTATTTTTCGACCGTTGTGGAGCACGCGGGAACGTCACGACCACTGCAGGAGCCGGCCGAAGACGTCCGATGCTCGCCACTGCACCTCCGCCGGGACACCCGACGAACCGACAGGGCCGTCCCGCGACGATCACCGCCAACGGTAAAACGACGAGGCCGTTACTCGACGTTTTGGA